CAGAAACTTAAGCCAGAGGCTCTTGGGCCTAGGCATTCACCAGGATCCGGAGCAAACCAGGGTGTCCACTAGAATGAGAGCTCCCTGAAGGCAGGGGCACTGCGTCCCAGCAACTAGGACAGAACCCAGCACATAGTAGGTACTTAGGAATTATATGCTGAGTGAACAAGTGAATGAAGTCTTGCCATTCCTAGAACAAAAAACACGGGATACTGGAGGGAAGGAAAAAAAAGTCTCAAACTTCAACAGGGAAATGGGTCTGGTTTCCAGCCTCTGGCAGGGAGTGGTGGAGCTGGGCGATGTGAGAACCACTTCACTTTCTATTCACATGGAGCCCAGGAAGGAAAGGATCAAAACCCAATTTGAGAATTTGAGAGTTGCCCTGGGACTCTGTGGTTTGGGAACAGTAGGATCAATTTGAAAGTCACAATGTGTCACTATTTCCATTACACATTTTCCAGGGTCCCCACTTAGCTGGTAAACTCAACAGATTCCACCATCTTAGAGGATGGAAACAGAGGCCCAGGGAGGTAGAATTTGAGAATGCTCACTTGACAACAGAAAGTCCTGCCTGCCTGCCCCAGACTGGCTGGATAATAAGAATTGTTAAGATTCTCGATTACTTCTGCTAATGGTAGGAGAATATTAGTAGCACAAACCACCACTCACTCTCCGCTAATCCCCCACAGTTTTGGTTAACCTGTGGGATACATTACACTACTTTTCCCTGCCCTTTCCCACAGAGATGTTGGCTGAAGCAGATTCTTTTGTTGTCAAAAAATTTTTTTGAATAGGTAATAGAAGTAGTATGGAAAGAACAGTAAGACGACCCCCACCAGGTATCTCTCAGGGAGAGCCCTTTTAACAATTTTCTCCTGTAGTAATGCTGGATTTTAAATTAAGGTCAGTTTCTTTGCAAGAGCGAAGGGTAGATATGTGCAATAGTTGGGGGTGGGAGCAGGAGGTTGGGGATTGTTAAGAAGACCTGCTCTGGTACCTCTCACTGGGCAAGGACTTCTGGACAAGCCCAGAACACAGTGTGCTGGCCCAGGACTGACCCTGCGTAGGTGAGAGGCAGTGGGGTAGGAGCATACTTCTTGAATGTCTGGAAGCCCTGGGTATAAAAATTCACTCTGCCCAGCTATTTGTACTCATTTATTTGTATTTTTAAGATGGTTGTGAGAACGAGATAGTGAAATGTATATGAAATCACATTATAAATTATGTTAATTTTCATTGTAAAGTGATTTATAGTGGTTATTACTATTGGTTGGATGGCTCAGCTGTTTACTTGCTGTGTGATCTGAGTAAGTTACTTAACCTCTCTGAGCCTTGGTTGCCTCATCTGTAAAATGGAAATAATGAGATCTACCTGTTGGGGCTGATGTGGGGATTAAATAAAATATGTATGGGCCGGCCCGGTGGCGCACTGGAGAGTGCGCCACTTGGGAGCACGGCGGCACTCCCGCCGAGAGTTCGGATCCCATGTGGAGACCGGTTCCCGCTCACTGGCTGAGCGCGGTGCGGGCGCAACACCGAGGGTTGCGATCCCGTTACCGGTCAGTAAAAAAGACAAAAAGGAAAAAAAAAATATGTAAAGTGCCTAAACCTTGTAGGCTCTCAAGACATTACTCCCTTCCCATAGTGCATTTTAGAGGAAGCCAGGTAATTTGGATATTGAAAAGCACCCAACACAAGGACCTCCGAGGGTTCGGATCCCATGTGGAGACCGGTTCCCGCTCACTGGCTGAGCGCGGTGCGGGCGCAACACCGAGGGTTGCGATCCCGTTACCGGTCAGTAAAAAAGACAAAAAGGAAAAAAAAAATATGTAAAGTGCCTAAACCTTGTAGGCTCTCAAGACATTACTCCCTTCCCATAGTGCATTTTAGAGGAAGCCAGGTAATTTGGATATTGAAAAGCACCCAACACAAGGACCTTAGCAAAACATTTTAAATCTCTGGAGCACTCATTCATCATCTGAGGCAGGGGTCCCTAATGGTGTCTTCTGCAGCTCAGAGAATTGTTCCTTCACAGACACGATTCTATAATGTCAGCATTGTTACAGTCTGATTCAGCCTTCCAATCACCATTATCCATGCCCATTTAAAATCTTTAAAAATATTTGAACAGTCTCCCCTGAAAGATTAGAGGGTACCAAAGGCACTTTCCTGGACCCACACCTGTGGATCTCGGGGCTGTCCTTGGACAAATGCTGCAAGGTCCTTGGAACCCAATGCTGGTTCTTTTTTTCCTTTTTGTCTTTTTTCGTGACCGGTAACAGGATCGCAACCCTCGATGTCGTGCCTGCACCGCGCTCAACCAGTGAGCGGACCGGTCTCTATATGGGATCCGAACCCTCGGCGGGAGCGCCGCCACGCTCCCAAGCACCGCACTCTACCGAGTGTGCCACCAGGCTGGCCCCCAATGCTGGTTTTTAAAAGAAGGGGTGTTATCCTCCTTCCCAGACCCCTTCTGGAGGCTGCCTCAGTCTAACCATGTTATCTGAAAACTTCCATTGCTCATGCCTGTTCCTGTTCCTCTACTCTTTGCCCCTCAAATCCCCCAGACACTACTACATGGCCTAATGTTTTCCCCCCTGTGATTCTCCCAGCCCTTCAATCTGGTTCCTTTCTATCCCAACCCCAAGTGGGGGAGTGTAGTCTATTCCTTGTCTAGTTCATGCTTCCTCACGCCCTCACTCACAGCTCTCATTAGCTCAAGGCAAAAGCTACATTTCCCTCTGCTGTCTGGTCACTCAGCTCCCTTGGGCTATATATAGCATAGCTGTGCCTCAGATTGGGTCGAAGGCTTCAAGAGTTAGTCCCCCCTCCCCCATCTGTTCATCTCCAACACAATAGGGAAGCTTCTAGTTAGAGAGAAGAAGCCCAACTAGATGGGAGGAGGGTGTGCTGGGGTGGGGAGGAGGATGAGAAAGGCTGTGCTGAATTTGGGACCGCAAAGCATCTGGTAACCTTCCCACCCATTGTCAGGGGCTTTCCGCTTCTCTTCCAGCCTGCTACCCATTCCCTGCCACTTGCTCATTCTGGAGGAAGAGGAGCAGGCAGTATGCAGGGGAATTCTAACAATCATCCTATTTAACCCTTACAATAATCCTTTGGGTAGATGCTACATCCATTTTACAGATGAGGACACAAACCCGAAGATCGAGTGGCATAACCAAATATTTAAGGTGTTTTTGTTGTTGTTGTTGTTGTTGTTTTTATGGCCGGCCAGTAAGGGGATCTGAACCCGTGACCTTGGTATTACAAGGCTACACTCTAACAAACTGAGCTAACTGGCCAGCCCAATAACCAAATATTTACAGTGGCCAGTCTATGAGCTAATTAATCTCACATCTGACTCTAGCCTACATTAAATGTCTGCATCATTAATTTGGACCCCTATAAATCAGAACTTCTATTCATGTAACCTGATTTGGAAGGGATTCGAACCCTTGACCGTGGTGCATAATTTTATCTTATCTGTTTACTAAAATAGGACTCTACAGAATCCGTTCCTTGAAATTTTAGTTACTGTATGTTCTCACAAGTTTTTAAAATAAAAGGCAATTTTATTTCTTCTATTTCAAGATTTCCCTTGCACTTTACATACATTCTCCCAAGTTAATCCAGAGCAGTGAGATTTGACTTTAGGAATGGTTGGAAGGCTGGTCCTTCTCTCTGTCACTTACTGAGAACTTTAACTGAGCCTCAGTTTTTCATCTGTGAAATGAGAATAATAATAGTACCTATCGCACAGTTATCGTGAGGATTAAATAATCTACATAAAGCAATTAGTGCAGTGCTTGGCCCATAGAAGGTGCTCAGCAGATCATATAAACTATTATTTCTCAGCTGTGGGCTAAGATACTGTGGGAACAATATAATCTCCATAGAGAAACTGAACTTCACTCTCCGTAGCTTGGTCCGTGTTCATCAAAGGACTTGGAGTTGATCCTGACTCCTGCCCCGTCTCATCCAGATATTTTCATCCCCCCCCATATCTGGCCTAGACCAATAAAGGCATATACCATCCATCTCTTGAGAATTCAGGCCACTGTTGGGACCTGGAGAGGTAGCACAGGAGGGAGTGTGTGTGAAAGACCTGGAGGACAGTTCCCATGGACGTTGGGGATATGTGAAGGCCCTGGGGAGTTGCTGTGACCTTGAGTCTCTTCCTAGAGCAGTGAATGTGGGGAGAGAAAAGAAGGACATCAGCTGCTGGACAAACTTCCAAAAAAAAAAAAAAAAAAAAGCTGTTTAGGACAGACACACAGGGCTGAGAGTAATCTAAGGAAGGATCGGAAGCCTGGGATGGACTGGGACTCTGCACAGTGCACCCTGATCTTTCTCTATTTGCTTAGCAAGTACTTTTTCTTCTCCTAATCGAGGGTGACATGATTGATTAGCATCCCTAAGCTTCAGTATCATTCCGGAGAGGGTTTTAGCTTGGCCAGCCCCTGGAGGTCAGTATCGCAGTTAGGAGTGCAAACTTTGGAGCCAGCCAGCCCCTGGAGGTCAGTATCGCAGTTAGGAGTGCAAACTTTGGAGCCAGCCAGCCCTGGGTTCAGATGATGACGCTGCTATTTAGTAGCTGTGTATGCTTGGGTAAGTCATTTAGCCTCTGAAGCTCAGTTCCTGCTCAGTAACTGATACTTACCATATGGATTAGTTGAGAGGTCTGAAATATAAATATTTAGTAAGAACAGCGTTAATGCCAGTCACTGTCATCCTTGTAACTTGAGTGAGAATCACTCCCACAGGCAGTATGAAGAGGTCTGGAGACGTGAGGGAAGTCCCTGTTGTTTCGATCTCCTGGACAAATCTCCTTGGAGAGCCTCTCCAGAGAGCCTGTCTCCCACAATCAAGGTATTTTATTTGCACATTGTTTCTAAGTGCGCTTGAGGCAGTTTATTTATTTATTTTATTTTTTAAAAGATGACCAGTAAGGGGATTTTTTTTTTTTTTTAAATAAAGATGACCGGTAAGGGGATCTTAGCCCTTGACTTGGTGTTGTCAGCACCACGCTCTCCCAGTGAGCCATGGGCCGGCCCCTGAGGCAGTTTAACTTGGAAGAACCCAGGCTCTCTGCCCATCCTTGCTTCTATAACTCCATCTCAGTTCTCCACATCAAGCCAGTCTCTGATCCAGCCACTTATGTCCACAAGAATTAGAGGACTGAATCTAGTCAAAGGCTCTTCTCTATCTGGTCTTTCATGACTTTCCAGTGCCTGGAGCTCTGGCCAGGAACTCGGCAGATGGGGGGTTAAGACTGATGCCCTGTCCTATCCCCTCCCCTATCGATCCCTGACTTCAAAGTCTCTGTAAAGCCGAAGTCACTGCTTCCCTGACCCCATAGTGGCAGCTCTATCATCAGCTCTCGGCTGGTTCAAAACAGCAGACATCAAGCCCAGGCCCGGCTGCTCATGCTCCTTTCTAGCGGTCTCCTAGGGTAAGCACCAGCATGCTGAGGACCTGTGGGGCCTCCAGTCCTTGATTTTCCAGGAGAGGAGGAGAGGCAACTAGTAATAGATGACTCCAGCAGCGAGTGTTTGGCCAATGGTTAGACCCAGAAGGCATTCCACTGGCAGAACCCCTGGTCTCAGGACCAGGACTCTGGGACTCCATCTAGTTTATGATCAGAGCAGACATTTACAGGGGTTAGCAAATAGAGCAACAGAGGTTTCCAGCTCAGAGAGTGGTAATTAATTGTGAAGAACCTAGAAAGAGGTGACCTGGAAATGGGAGATCAGGGACCAGAATTTGTTCCTTTAATATCAATGAGCAAAATATACGCTAAATTATACCCAACCCATGTCCGATCATTTAAATCTCTGGCTCTGGTGATTTGGTAACATTGTCTGGATTCCTGGGGCCAGATCCTGCTCTGTAGCTCCCTCAGGAGCAGCCATCACAGACCCAAGGCCAGTGGGTCCCCAAGGCTCAAGGACTGTTTCTCTGATGCTCATCTATTTTTTCAGCTGTTTTTCTTGGCCCCAGGATCACACCCATAGAGATGCAGATGAGGAAGGGAGAAGCAGAGTAAACAGTGAAGTCTGAACGAGCTGGGGAAGACGCAGATATTAGGAAGAGATAGAGAAATGGCACTAGTGGCCTAGCTACCTGAGACAGGATATCTGGGACAGCTTTTTAAGCAGAGGCTGTGCTGGGCATGGTAAGAGAGAATCTTAGCAGGTAAACTCCCTCCTTTCCGCTCCAGAATCAGGAATATTGGAGTTCTTACTATGGGGTGCCTTCTTCTAGGACTGTGCTGAAGCCTAGGAGCCACGGCTGTTAACATCTGTATCCAGGATCATGTCTGCTAACAAAGGCTGGTGGGTGCCAACTGAGGATGAGGACAGTGTGTCTAAGAGGTTCCTGAGGAAGACCCGGGAGTCTCCACTGGTGCCTATAGGTGAGTAGAGAAAGAAATGTGGGGAGAGGGGAGCCTTCCTCTCAGAAATCATGTCTCCTGGTCCTTTCAAAGGAGAATGAAGCAGAGGTCACAAGTGGACCTACCTACTTAACAAATGAACCCACAGCAAAGGTGCCAAGGGACAAACCCTTACAGTGAGGGAGTCTGGATGGGTGGAGGTAGTGGCCAACTCAGTACATAGGATATGGGGATACTTGGGGCACCAACACCAGTGTCAGGATGGGGCCAGGTGAGCAGTCTGGGGTCTCCCATGGCTTCTTTCCTCACGGCCCTGGGAGATTAGGAAAGTAACTGTACCAGGATGTGGAAGCTAGCTGTGGTTGGAGAAGGGCCCAGAGCAGAGCTGGGAGTGGGGGGCAGTCATAATGATGGGCTATTTATATACGGGAGGGGTGTCACTAGAGGGAGGCAGCCACTTTGAAAATGCCATTGAGGGGAAACAACTTAATATTCCAATGAAATCCCCATCCCCTGTGAAGCTGCGGGAAAGCAGCTGTTTATCCAGGTGCCCAGCCTGCCTAATGAGGTCTCTCTCAGGAGATCACTGTACTTGGTGGCTGAGGCCCAGAGTTCATGTTCTCTGCCTATAGGTTTAGGAGGCTGCCTGGTGGTGGCAGCATACAGGATTTACCGGCTGAAGGCTCGTGGTTCCACGAAGATGTCCATACATCTGATTCACACCCGACTGGCAGCACAGACCTGTGCTGTGGGTGCAATCATGCTAGGTGAGTAGTTTGGTGGGGTCAGAGTAGGATGGGAACAAAACACATTAGGTGAAGTCTGGCAAAATCAGTTAAAGGAACCATGCCCCAAGTCCCTGTTCTGTATATGACGTTCCACATCAAGTCTTTGGTAAAGCTCCCACAGAGATGTTTTCAGGGTTGGGCCGGCCCGGTGGCGCACTGGAGAGTGCGCTGCTTGGGAGTGCGGCGGCGCTTCCGCCGAGGGTTCGGATCCCATGTGGAGACCGGTTCCAGCTCACTGGCTGAGCGCGGGGCGGGCGCAACACCGAGGGTTGCAATCCCGTTGCCGGTCAGTAAAAAAAAAATACAAAAAGAAAAAAAAGAGATGTTTTCAGGGTTCCCTGTTTAATCTCCTGTCCCAGGCCTGTGGGGATGGTGCACAGTGTACTTTCATGATAGCTCTAGAGGTGAGAAAAACCATGCAGTAGAACCCATACTGGATTTCGCTTACTCTCTCAATCAAAAAGCAGACAGCTTCTTGCTGTGTGACAGTGGACACAGCTCTCTCACTGAGCCTCAGTTTCCCATGTATAACATGACAATAACCACCCCCCACTTGCCTACTTCACAAGCTTCTTTGAGGTTTCTCAGATATATAATCTACATGGAAGTGCTCTGTGAACTATCAGATGGGTTGTTTCCTGACTGCATGGTCAGGTGCTTGGAGCAGCTGTTGGGACCGGGGGCAGAAAGATGAGCAGGGAAGCTGGACTCAAGGGAATAGCCAGGGCTGAACCCCTGGGACACCCGGGGGAGAGTCTGAGGACCGGAGAAGGGTTCGATGTCAAGGGGCGTTCTTCCTTCTCCCTCACACAGGAGCTGTGTACACCATGTACAGAGATTACATCAAGAGGACAGCACAGGATGCTGGAGAGAAGTAGGCCTCCTAGAGGGGCTGGGGAAGCCCCCCCAACTCAATCCCTGGTATGGTAATAAAGTCGTTCTGAGGAAAGTCAACAGGCTCTTCTTCATGGGGGAGAACAGAGTGAGCAATTGGTGGTGGCTGGGGAGAGACTTCAGAGCCAAAGGCGGGGTACTGAAGTGCTCTGACCCTCACCTCCTGGGCAAGGGCGACTCTTAAGGGGCAGTGGTCTCCTGAGGAGATGTAGTAGGCATCTAATCCCAGGAATCCCAACTCCTAAGGCACCTCAGGTCCCACCCACGAACATCAGGAAGTGGGAATGGGAGGCTGGGAGCAGTAAAAGGGCCTCGATGCTCATGGGAACACTGAATCAAGAAGCAGGCATTCCTCCCCCACGCGCTGCTTCCCTGGGGACACAGGCAGGAAGGAGGCTGCAGCTGGAGCAGAGGCAGTGAAGCCTCATGGGAGAAGACATATATCCAGAATGGAAGCACTAGGACTAGACAGGGCAGGGTTGGGGGTTGGTGGGGGATGAAAGGAGCAGAGCAAGACAGAGGTCAGAATGTTCTGTTCACTTACAAACCATAGCTAAGGCAAACTTATAAAATATAAAATTCCACATGTAAATCCTGTAGTCACGGCCCCTTGGGGTTTCATCCCCTTCTCCTTCCCTGAGCCCAAGCTCCTCTCTGTTCCCTGGGAATGGAGCCAGGTAGAGGCCACAGAAGGAACCAGGAGGCCAAATGCCCCTCTCTTGCTGGGGCTCTGGGTTGGAGGTCTGCAGGTTGTTCAAGATGGCAACAGCAGCTCTCAGGTACTCTTTGACAACATGAAGGCCAAGTCACACGAGGTCTTAGCTTCAAGTCCAGGAGCTGCCGGCCACGGCAGGGAGCAGGAGCTGCCAGGCGTCCCTGTACTCACATGGGGTAATTGAGCACAACATCCTGCTTGGCAAGCTCCAGCAACATAGGATCATCGAAGAACTTGCTGATGCTCACGTCTTCACTCAGGCCCTGAAGAGAACAGGGCAAATCCAAGAATAAGCCTTATGTGGTGGCTGACTGAGCTGGGCGCTGCCCCAGCCTGTGCTTCAGGGGGAGACCGGTGGAGGCTGGAATGTAGCTGGGGCTGTTTTCAAGAGCCCTGCCTTTGGGGTATCATCACAGTGGAAGAGAAGGCCCTCCTTTCCCAGCCAGACCGGGCTCTAGGTCTGGCTGCCAGAGGAGTGTACAGACAGCATCTCTCTACATAGTGTAGTAAACTGTTCTCAGCCTATAGGTCCTTAGGAAAAGGAGCCAAAAGGAAGAAATAAAGAGAGGACCAACTCCTGCTGGGACTGCTGGGGGCTGAGGGGTGGCAATGGGCCCAAGTAACACATACCTTCCTACGGCGCGTTTTGATCATGAATTCCCGGGCCAGGTGAGGAGCCGGCTGTGGCTCCAAGGGGCGGATGACGATGCTCTTGTCCAGAGGATCACCAGGTACAATCTAAAAGGCAAAGGACTTTCAGATGGCCCAAGCAGACTTCCAAGAGGACTGAGGCCCAGAAGTAGGTCTCTTGTCCAGGATGGTGGACATCTCACTAGGGGTTCGGAAGGGAAAAGGTCAGAAGGGGATCAGCTTTGGAGAGGTGGGAGACCAGGCTGGCTGGCTGCACCATTTTCTCACCTGCCAGTGGTGGAAGACAGACAGGGAAAAGGCTTGTCCCTGGGTATGAGTCCGGAGATCAGTCTCAAAGCCAAAAGAGTCGATGGCCGGAATGAAAGCTTTGATGGTGTAGAGAGGGGAGCCTGGGATGGGTGCATCCTGAGTCACATGCCCCCTGAGACAGAAAAACAAAAGCTGAGTCCCTGCTCATACAGAGGCCAAAAGACTGCACCGAAGCAATCCGGTTTTTGCTTCCCAGCCCAGAGTTACCATCAAAGAAAGAATAACAGAGTAGAAATAGCCTGGGACTCTAAGCCTAATTCCCTGTGAAAGTCAAAGGGGCAGAAACCTCTGGGCACAAACAGGAGTGGGAACACTGAAGGCACAAGTCCCTGTAAACATTCCCACCACTGACTTGCTTCAGCACTTCCCCCAGGCGCTCTCAGAGGAGGAGCCCCAAGAAGAAATCTCAAATTTTAATCTACAGTATAGCTGGGGATCGCCTCATTCCTTTCCTGCTTCCTTCTGGAAAACCAGCTCGTGGGTTTCCCAAGTGAACAGGGTGGGGGAGGCTAATCTCTCCTCTTCCACAGAAGCCGGGTGCTTCTAGCCCTGCTCTTGTTCTCAGCCCTCTCACTGCTACGCCTGGGGCTGCTTACCTGCGTCTGGCCAGGACAGTGTAAACAGCAGAGACACAATCTGCAGGGGCCTGGACCTCTACAAAGTAGTAGGGCTCCATCAGACGAGGAGTGGCCTGCAACAGAGCAAGAAGAAAGGCTCCTCAGCTTGGGGAAGGCTAAGGAAGTGAAACCCTGGATAAAGGGAAGGCTGGGGACTGTAGAGTCGAGGCCCCAAAAGCTTGGTCTTCCACTTAACCCCGTGTGGGGAAGCAGAATGGTCCCCTCCAGCTTCACTCTCTTACCATGAGGAAGGCAGAGTAGACGACTCTCCTGGCTGTGGGAATGATTTGGCCCCCACCCCGGTGCAGGGGCTCCTGGGCAACCACCGCATCCAGGATCTTAAACTTGACGTTCCGAATCACTGAAAAGGAGATGGGGCTAGACATGGGGCCATGGCAGAGCAGCAGAGTCTCTTGCTATGCTGCCACCATCTTGCAGTCATAAAAGATGGCACAAAAACCACACTGGAGATGGGAATTCTAATTGGATAAGCAAGGCCTGTGGCAAAGAAGTCAGAATTTAAGCATAAATTCTTAGTGTTTGTTTCAGGCCATGCTTGGACATACAGATCTTTCCTAGAAGTTTATATGCTTCTTCTGAGGACATTTAAATTTTTTTGGATGTAGGATAAGTTTTAGAAATTGCACATTTGGACCCACAAAGTCCAATCAGGGTCTACAAACCACTCCAATCTCATCGTCCTCTTGATACCTTTCTTCAAACACAACCAAAGCCAGATCCTTCTCAGGAATGACGAGCAAATGTCAGTCTAGAAATGACTTAATTTTCAGGATGTACCAAACAGTGCCACTAGGACAGGAGAAAGGAGGAAGCTGGCCCAGGATACGGATGGCCATAGGTGGCCCTGTGCTCCTGCCCCAAGCTGCTTCTCCTGCCAGGTCTCAAAAATGGTGAGTCCACCCCACCTCACACACATGGGGGCAAGGACCCTCGGGACTGGGGTGGGGAAGTGCCGGTGGACTTACACTCATCGCAGAGGGGACCCTCTCTGGTTCCCCACTGGAAACCTTGAACGATGCTGTCCTTCACTGAGCCAAGAAGAGCTTTGTCCACCTGTACAGAAACACGAGGACTCCTGAGCATACCCCCGGCAATAGCCAAAGAGTCTAGAGGTAGGAGTAGATACATTTGTAAGAGGATACTCTACTTCACAAGAAGACACAAAATACTTCTTTTGGGAAAGGAAGAACACTTTGTAGTTTCTTCCATTCAAGAGCTAAGAGATGAAAATAAAAAAAAGGGCTGTCCAGTGGCTCACTTGGGAAAGCGTGGTGCTGATAACACCAAGGTCAAGGGTTCAGATCCCCATACTGGGCAGCAGCCAAAGGAAAAAAGAAAAATTAAAGAGCTAAAAGATGACCCCAGGTTCCCATGAGTTCTGCTGTACCTCAGAGGGCAGGGTGTCATCCACCAGGATGTTGGGGCCAGTGGCGTCAGGGCCAAAAGCCCAGATGGAACGGGCGGCCAGCAGGTCCCAGTCGTACTTGGTCTGGAAGAACTCTCCCAGCTTCTTCCTGTGGAAAGAAGAGGAAAATAGAGGTGGCAGACAGCTTGGTCATTTCCGGCTCTTGGGGCCACGGACTCTCCTTTCCTGGAAGACAGTCCCCTCATCCTGCCCACACTGTGCCTAGGACAACAGCCAAGGGGGAGATGCAATTGCTTCCCAGAGGGTGTATGGTATTGGAGCCCCAGCAGGTTAAGCCATGGTGTCCCCATGTCCCTTCAGCCCTGACATCAAGAGTTGTGTTCCTACCTGTTCCATGTGATCTGGACCACCTCATTCTCTATGTCCTCGGCAAGGCCCTTCTCAAGAGGCTCAGCGATCATGGTGATCTTGTTCCTAGTCAGAAAGGAAATGGGGGATGAGGAGGCTTAACAGGATAAGCAGAAGGGGCATTCCTGAGAAAAGGGTAGCAAAACGGACAGTTAAGGCAGCAAAAGCAGTGAAAGCCATGGGGCAGGTCAGAGCAAGAAGGGCTCATCTTCTGCCTTCTTTCATTTAAATCTACCAGTCTTTAAAAAAGTAAGGTTTGGGGCAAATTTTTAAGATGGTCATATTACAGAGCAGAGGTGGCAATTACGAAACTCCTCTTGGGAGCACATACGGCAAAGAATTCCATAGCATCATGTCCAAAGGCATAAGGGACGAGAGGGCTGTAAAGCTCAAGTATCCTAAGCACCCCCACCCCAAGACTCAGGGGTCTCTATGTTCACAGCACTTGAGGCTGGGGTAAAGTTGGGGTAGGGGTGGGGGCCTGTCACTGTGTTCCCAGCTTACTTCTTATTGGGAGTTTCAGCAAAGCACTTGAGGGAGGACGTTTCCACCACTGTTTCACAAAATGTGACAACTGGGTCAGCCACCTGGGAAACAAAACAAAAAAATTGTTGAAGCGAGGCCTATTTTTGTTGGAAGGACAACCTCTTACCTAAGGGAATTCTGAAGCTTCCTTTACACTAGCTCTGTGAGAAGCCCCTCTGCCTCAATCAGCATAAGTGACAAGGACAAGAGCAGATTAAAAAAGCCATCCAGGGCTGGCTGGTCAGCTCGGTTGGTTAGAGCACAGCCTTACAACACCACGGTCAAGGTTTGGTTCCCCTTACTGGCCAGTTGCCAAAAAAAACCAAAAGCAAAAAACAGCTCCTGTTGTCCAACAGAGCTGGTGCTGGAGACCCACTGGCAAGTACCTGTTCCCGTCTCAACCTGTAATGTCTGGGTGCACAGCTCTTTCCTGAAGCTCGGGAAGCCC